GTATAAAAGGTTCTGTAATTTCTTTTTCTCTGATTTTTTGATCAAGTTCATTCTCCAGTTCTTCTATCCGCACTTGAGGGTCTATTGAATGCACATAATCAGATCCATTGGACTGCTTATTCCCCTTAAGTGCAGAGTTATCTGAACTCTGCTTGGACTGCGGGCTGTTGACCCACAGAAGCTAGTCACTTCTGAAATGATTTGGCCATGCATATTGAGTGCATGGAGACCAGATTATCATTGTTACATTGGTTACAGGTGTTTGTATGCCTTGTAACATTTCCCTCTCTCTGCAGCACAGGCAGCAAGATGTTGCCAATGTGTATGGTGTAATTTCCAAAGTCGAGCACCATCTTCATTTGATGCATGAAAGGTAGTCCAAGAACCATGTTGTATTTAGGTATATGCACAATATTGTAGTATACCCTGTGGTTATTCCCTGCAATAATGAATGAGGTTTCCATGCCAAAGTTTGCCTTTGAGTGACTGCTCACACACTCCAATTGCAGGAAAATAGGGTTGCTGAGAGGGAACAGCACTATTCCAGCAACGCAGGTGTATTCTGAACTTATCGCATTAATGGTGCTTCTGGTGTCTAGGAGAACCTTCACTTTTAGACCGTGAATAGTGGCCCATATGGCCATCAAGAAACCACGAGCCAGTGGTCTCTCTTTGGCTGTGCCCTGTGGTCGTATCGCTGCATGGCCAGCAGGTTAAAATTCAACCTAAGCAAATGATCCCCAGAAGTGAACGGTTCATCCACTACAGGGTTCTTTGCTGGATTGACATACTCTAGATTGTTGTCATTGAGGCGGTCAACATGGTTTCCCTCCGTAGCCCAATATGTTTGCATTAATCACATTCTGATTGTTGTCAAATGACGCAGGGATGTAAGTAATTGTAGTCATCATAGATAAAGTATTCCTTGGCCGCAATATGTAATGGGCGTAGTCTTGCTCTGCCAGGTCACGTTCTGCAGCGTGCTCAAACACTTCATTAATTACAGAGCATGTAACATCTTGGCTTGCAGCTCTTTGCAGCAAGTGAAAGTTGTGTCGCAGATTTTGAAGCTGATTTTGCAGTAGCACCATCTTGCCCTGGACATGTCAGAGACTGCCCTGAGCACATTATATTCAAAGGCCCGCATTGTGCATACATGTCACAGACTGTTCCTGCACTATTTGTGAGTTGTCAGGCATCAAAGACAGATCCTCCCTTCAGTCGACCTTACCATTACCCATTGTCAGTTGCTTCATCAACCTTTCTTGACAGTGGATAGACTGTCTCCCAGGGGCGCGCTGCACAGAAGAGCAGTCTCTTGTACTCCGCTGGACCCTGTGTCACATCTGTTGCTTGTTGCAGACTCCTGTAAAGGGTCGAGTTGTTGAGCAGCATGTTGCAGGTGCTTCATCTGGTTTAAAACCAGGTTTTGTATTCTCTGCTAGCACGTATCCCGCTTCTTTTCTTCTTGTTCTTATTTGGCTCGTTGTTGTCACCTTGCTGACATATCACTGTCATGGGCAGTCACAAGTTCTATGCCAATTTGCCTGAGTTCGGCATACATCTTGTCAATTTCACCCATTACTCAGGCTGCTAAGGGTATATCATTCCCCGTGTTCTCTTCTTCTCTAGTTGAGTTGTTACTGATGTCTTCTGGGGCTTCTAGGTAGAACGAAGCCTCTATGCGCGCACTAAGGGACGTGTTGGCCTCGCCTTCCGATTGCTCGGTCAGCCGGTTCAGCTGGCTCTGATCTGTGTGTGACTCTTCTTGTTCTTTATGGGAGTGGTCACAGTTGTTATTTGCAGTCCATTGAAGGTTCCTTCCACTCTTCTCTTTCTTCACCATGGTGTCTCCCGCAGTTCTGGGTCAAGCAGAGCTGGGCGTTGAAGTCAATGTTCTAATTTGAGAAGACTCTGATGCGCTAGATGAATTGCCAGGTGGTCTGTCATTTGATGAGTGGGCTGATGGCAGTTGTTAGTGCTTCTTTTGGTCTCAGGGTCTTGGTGATTGCTTCCAAGCACCGTTGGTATGCTGGTCATCAAGCTTTGTGGTGTTGATGCGGCACCAAAAAGGTTTGCATTAGCTTGCAAGCCTTCTGAAGCTGCCCAACAAAGGTTTCTTCAGGGTCTTCCATTTATGATGGATCTTCAGTAGGATAGGTCATAATTTTACAAAGTGACTGCGGTTTTCTCCTGCAATCCTGTAGTGTAGGAGTCAAATAAGTCTTTAGGGAATTCAAAAAAGTGTAAGGTTGTCGTGGGAGGTGTCCTCTCACTTGCACCGTGAATCTGAACTGACTTTATTCAAGTCCTAGATATATGGTGTACATGTGAGAGTGATAGGAAAAATCTACCTAGGCCGATGCCTCAAGCTTTATAAGCTCAAGAGCTTGAAACACTTATCTAATAAAATGAGCAGCTAAACAGTGCACTGGCATGTAATCAGGATGCCGTCGAAACTGTGCCTCCTCGGTGATCCAAGGTGTGCCTACTCAAGCGCCGTTCTTATAGTTAACCTTACTTGTCAAGGTATCCAAGTCAGCAGAAAGGAAGATCTTATTCTTAAACACTGCCAGAGGCTCAATTAGAGCTAAGCTACATAAAATAAACTCTGTAGAGTTTTCACTGCATATTAATGAGGGTACTAAAATTCATGAGCTGTGTAGCTATATGCTTGGACCATTAGAGGACTTCTGGCACAAGGAATACATGTGCACATTATGTGGAACCAGCCAGATAATTGGTAGAAACAAGAATATGACCTATTCTAACTTGCTCCTTGTATGTTCCTCATACAAATGGCAGAGGCAAGATATCATGAGTGGACTTGTTGATAGGAGAACTTTACTAAAGTGGTTACATGCCAACATAAGACAAATAGCCAATGCAACATGCAGTAGCTGTAGTATCAAGCTAGTGAAGAAGGTAATCACAGATAATATACCTTAACTCCTTAAGGTCAAAGTCAATGAAGTTACTGTCAAGTAGACTCCTATACTGGACTTGAACAGGTGCAAGTACAGGCTATGTAGATTTATTTATTATGGCAATGAGCATTTTACAGCAGGGATAGTTAGTGCTGATGACCAAGTATAGTATAATGATAGGTTGAAGTATGATAGTATATATTACTTAGAATGTCAGCTTTGTAATATGACACCAGCCGAACTTGCCAATAGTTCAGATGTTGTAAATAAACAATATAATAGTCTGTAAGTTTTTGTTATTATTTATGTGATAGGCATATTATTCATAAGATTCACATAATAGAATGATGATGGATTGCTGTCAACATATTTTGCAAAGTGATAAAATGATAAATACTGCATATAGCTCTAAGCTTCATATAAATGGTAAACTATTATAATATTTGAGTTATTATTATTTATGATGCAGTATAAAAAAAATGACGAAATTATACCCACTGAGTATATATGCTATGGCCCACATAACTCTAGTATATATATATCACCACAATAGAGTGTAGCATAAAGACATCTTTCAAAGATTAAGGTATAGGCTTGTTGTTTCATTTCTACCACTATTTAAGTATAGAT